GTATCCCCTGTGAACCCCGATAACGGTGTATGGATTGGTTTCAGGTCGTTTCGGGACAACCCCAACTCCTTAAAGGTGTTGCTGTACATAACGTTGACCGAGCTACCCGTATCGACCAAAGTTCGGTGAACAACCACATTATTGATCTCCACCTTTATCACCAGAGCATCCCTATGAGGGCTGAGGACTGGGGGATAATCCTCATCTGTGAAAATCAGTGGTTCCTTCTTCTTCCGCTTAGGCAGCGGCGGCCTCTGTACCTCGGCCAGGTAGACCATGTTCTTCCATTTCTTCCGGGAGGACACTGAATCTCCTCCCGTGTTTCCCCCCATGATGAACCGACACCCCAGGTGTCGGCGACCTTGCCTTTCCTCTTCATCTAAGTCGTCACAATCTCGTCCTAGGTGTCGCCGTCCATCTTCTTGCCCCTCTCCTGCTGTGATCGCTGCTGTAGGGGCTGGAGGCCTCCTCCAGGTCCGGTTACCTGAGGGTGGTCGTTCCGTCTAAGGAGGTGGCCCTCTAGCGATCAACTGGTCCATCTCCTTCTTCAACGTAACGCACTCCGACGTATTGTGGGTGCTGTTACGGTGGTACTCACAGTATTTGGGTGCATCCTGCACACCATAGCTTTCCCGACTGTGAGGGGAGCAGGTAACGACTGTACCGCATGAACAGGATGCCTATTCACATGATACCCGGTGGGGTTTGGCCCCTTTCCATAGTCCTTTCTTTTCTTCCCTTCTGCCACCGGTGGCCCGTTTTTCTTCTCCTTCCGGACTGGTGGCTCATCATCATCTTCTTCTAATGCCAAGTACTTCGCCCTAGCCAACATCTCTTGATAGGTTGAGAGAGGATTCCGATGCAACTCCTTGCGCACATCCCCTTGAGGGAGTGCAGCTTGGAGCATAGCGATCAGGGCCTGGTCGTCCGCCCCTTGGACGTCCCTAGCCTCCTTCTCCCACCTATTAATAAATTCCCGGAGCTGTTCCCCCTTCCGGATCCTCACGTTGAGCAGATGCGAGAAGGGGAGCTTCTGCCTTCGGCTGGATGCGAAGTGCTCCAAGAACTTGTGGGCCAGGTCGCTCCACTTATCTATCGACCCCTTGGGTAACTTGTGGAACCACTCACAAGCCTGCCCTTCCAGCGTCGCCAGGAAACATCGACACTTGATTTCTTCTGGGTACGCATACATGACCACGTTAGCCCCGAAGC